GGGAAAACTGCAGATAGAAGTCAGATACATTTGTGGGATTAGGAACAGGGTTCTCCTCCTAGTTTTTCTTATCACAATCACCTGTTTTGTTTAAAAAACACAGATGCCCAGGTCTTATTTTGGATCAACTGCATCAGAATGTCTAGGGATTTGGACTGAGGCATCTTCATATAAAAATTTCTTCTTATGATTTAAAGAAAAATTGTAATATTTTTGTGCAGTAAAATTTATATAGTTCTGTGAGTTTTGACAAATGTGTATGTACTTTATTAGGATAGAGTAGATAAGAAGAACAGGTTTGGTGAGGACGATATATTTCTTTTTGTGCACCATATAATTTCTTGTTCTACCAAAGCTGCAACCATGGGGTAAGATTATTACACTGAGTTAACATTTTCCCTACCATTTTCTTAAGTCTAGATCACAGATAGACACACTTTTTCTGTAAAGAGCCAGATTGTAAATACTTTAGGCTTCATAGGCCACATATGGTCTCTTTTGTATATTCTTTTTGTGACTGTGTGTTTCCAACTCATTTAAAAACATAAAAACCAGTCTTTGCACTGTACAAAAACAGGCAGAGAACTCTGGTTTGCTGACCTCTGGTAGTTAATCAGTACAGCAATAAATCAAGCTCTGATTTGTAGCATTTGCTGATTTCTGAAGTGTAACTATTCCCACTGTGGCTGATTTCATCATGCTATCCATGTGATATACTAAATGCAGAATTTGAAAGAGATGTAGTAGCATAAAGTATTTCTACTATTATAGATGCAATAGATGTAAATAGCCTTAAAGGCATGGACAGTTAAATAAAATACAGTAAACTATTAATGAAGTGTGAATTTTGAATGTTTATTACCTTTATTTTTAATATAATTTGTTTAATTGTGCATTTATATGATTTAATTTTTAATAATGACTGTATAACAGTGGCTTGCAAAATCCTGAAAATGTAATAGTCAGCTCTTGTTGGTCTGTGCAAATTGGCTTTAACATATCATTGAACCTAAGGTTGAGAGAGGTAATTTATCAAATCTAGTTTAAGTGACAGAACCAGAATAAACTCTAGGTTTCTTTTAATTTAACTTTTATTTTCATCAAAACAATACATGTTCATAGTTTCAACAGTCAAAGGATACTTCAAGATTTATAGTGAGAAAAACAGTAGTTCCCTGCCCTACCTTCTCCATCCCCAGTGTCTAATCTAATCAGAAGCAACAGTTAACTCTTTTAGCTTTTTCTTCTGGTTTTACCTCCCTGTTTTTCATAATACGTTTATAGTATTTTGATTTTTTTCACCTTTTAATATTACTTATTCCTTCTTAAGGAAAATAGAGATTTAGTGCTCTCACACTATATGTTTTACCTGTGTTTCCAGTATATTTATATCATAGTAATAACTGCTTCTTAAATTATCTTTTAGTATTTACAGTTATGACTATGTAAATAGTGTTCATAGCAAGCCATTAGTATATTTTTATTATATTTCCTTATATTTTTTGGAATTAGTAATTGCCTTAGGTTTTAAACAGTTGCCTGTTTTTTTTTATTTTCAGTATCAGTATTATCTCCATAATCTTCAACAGAACCATAAAACTCATCTCAGTATGGTTAAACATCAGATAATTTATTATTTCTATTTTTTTTCCATCAACGTACCTCCTAAATTCTCTTCATTCTCTTGCTAGAATCCCAACTATTGTTTTCGTCTGTCACCCTGATGCTCCCCATTCACCTCTGACCTAGGGCTTGCCTTTGCTCCTTTTCTGTGTTAGCATCCATTTTCCTGAATCCTATACCATCTTCTTTCCTAGTTTATTTTTTCACTTTAATAAAGCACATCTTTCAGGAGCTTCCTAAAAAAGGGTGCCAAGAGATAAATTGTTCAAGGTCTTGTATGTCTGAAAATATCAATTCTACCATCATGTATAATTGATAATTGGGCAGGATATATGATTTTAGTTTGAAAAATCATTTTCTCTCAGAGTTTGAAAGTTTTTCTCCAGTGTTGTTACTTACCAGTGTTGCTGTTGAATCCAGTGACATTGCAGGCCTTACTCCTTTGTGCCCTTTTTTTTCTTTTTTCTTTATGATAGGTTTTGAGGACCGTCTGTTTATCCCTGATGTAAAATTCCATAGAGATGTGCCTTGATGTGGGTATTTTTCATTCATTTGTTCATTTTATTCATGTGTGACATATCTGGGTACTTCCATTCTGTAGAAGTATGTCCATTTCTGAAAATTTTATCTTACATTAATTATTTTAAACATCTCTTTCTGCTTTCTGGAACTTCTGTTTGTTCAATTTTGTATCTTCTGGGTTTATCCTCTAATTTTCTCATATTTTCTTCTATTTTTCATTACTTTCATTTTTTTGTTCCCCTTCTTGGGAGATTTCCTCTACTTTTTCTGTCAGCTTATCAAATGAAGTTTCTAAAAAACCTCTATCATAATTTTATAAGGGCTCTTGCTCTTTAATATTACCATATTGTCAATCTTGTTTGTGTTTCATAGATGCAACATTTCTTTTTATATTTCCAAGGATATACTTTTTGTGTGTGTCTATGAAGTTTTCTTCTTGAATTCTTTGTTCACTTTTAAGTTCTTTTTTTCATTCGTTTGTTTTGGTCTTTAATGTTGATGGTATTCCTCAGTGTCTCGTGGTTTGTTTTTTCTTTTTTAGTTGTGGTAAAAATGCATAACAAGATTTATCATTTTAGCTGTTTTTAAGTGTACAGTTCTGTGGCATTAAGTACATTCACACTGTTGTGCAGCCATTCACTATCATCCATCTCCAGAACTCATTCATCTTACCTAACTGAAATTATGTACCTGTTAAACACTAACTCTCCATTCCTTCTGCCCCTGGCCCCTGGTAGCCACCATTCTACTTTCTGTCTCTTATGAATTTGACTACTCCTGAAACCTTGCATAAGAGAAGGCACACAATTATTTCTTCTGTGACTAGCTTATTTCCTCAGGGTTCTTCATGATGACATGTCTTCAAGGTTCATTCATGTTGTAGGAGTGTCAGAATTTCATTCCTTTTCAAAGGATTTGTTCTTATTTAGTAATAAATTTAAAAAGCTGATTTGAAGCTCCATGTAAGTGGGCAGGGCGTGTTAACTGAAGGCCTTCAGTGACAGGTATTGAGGTGATGAATATCTTTTTCATTGGTAACCCTAAAATATTCATATTTTTAGGTCTTCTTTTAGGACTTGTCAGTTTATCCAGAGAAAAATCTTACTAACTCCTGCCTGGGGATACAAGCTTGGTGGCTCAGTGTACAGAGAACTGAGGCAGGGAAGGGAGTTGGTACTTGTACCTGTTGAGTAGACTTTTCCTTAACTCTGCTGTTCTGGGTAAGGGACTTAGCACTAATCCCAGCTGTGCTTGGTGTTCCTTGAGTCCAGAGCATCTCTTAATTGTTTCCTTGGACTGATGTGTTGACAGGCAGGCTTTGTCTAGGGTTGGGGAGAGGTAATTAGTTGCCTGGTTGCTTGGAAGTTGTAGGGAAGAACCGGTAATCTATATATTTAAATGCTATTTCTGAAGACTTTAGACCCATTTCTTCTAACTTGTCTAATTTGTTGCCATATAAATTTTTCATAGAATTCTCTAATCTTTGTATTGCTCGCTATCTATCTATCTATCTATCTATCTATCTATCTATCTATCTATCTATCTATCTATCTATCTAATCTATTGAAGTCCATGAGTTGATATCAGTAGCTTTAATTCCAGTCCAAACCAGAAAGTTAATTCTATTTCTTTCTTTTCTATATTTGTAACTTCCTTTTTAGACTATGAGAAATCTGACCTCTATTATCTTTAACAGTTTTTCTTATGTGATCCATCTCTTTGTACCCAATCTCTTAAACTGTTCCTGAGTTCCCCCTGCCATCTCCCATCCTTTGCCCAAGTAGAAAATCTTTTCACCCTTGTCTGGCTTTGTCTCACTGCATTGGAATATCCACCTTTGAGGACTATGTCCTCATTGGCTTGGTCTCCAACACTCTGTGCCACCTAGGCCCTGTGCTACTGCCCTTCTTACTTCACTCAGCTCACTACCCCAGGCCAGGCTGCCCCTGTGAGGATTGCTCCTCAGCCTGCCGAAACTCTTGAGCTCCTGTGCTGTACTGCTTTCCCTCCTATATGGACATGATCCTCCTCAGTCCAAACCAGAAAGTTAATTCTATTTCTTTCTTTTCTATATTTGTAACTTCCTTTTTAGACTATGAGAAATCTGACCTCTATTATCTTTAACAGTTTTTCTTATGTGATCCATCTCTTTGTACCCAATCTCTTAAACTGTTCCTGAGTTCCCCCTGCCATCTCCCATCCTTTGCCCAAGTAGAAAATCTTTTCACCCTTGTCTGGCTTTGTCTCACTGCATTGGAATATCCACCTTTGAGGACTATGTCCTCATTGGCTTGGTCTCCAACACTCTGTGCCACCTAGGCCCTGTGCTACTGCCCTTCTTACTTCACTCAGCTCACTACCCCAAGCCAGGCTGCCCCTGTGAGGATTGCTCCTCAGCCTGCCGAAACTCTTGAGCTCCTGTGCTGTACTGCTTTCCCTCCTATATGGACATGATCCTCCCTCACCTGCTTTGGGTGCTGCCACCAACTGTTGGCTGTCATGAGCAGCCCTACTTAATAGCTTTTGGACTGAATTGTTTGTTAAGGGGCTTCACATTGTCTATAGAGATATAATGAAGTGTTTTTGGACATCTGTTCAGAATTAAAAGTTAGTACTTTGAAGAAAGAAAAAAACCCATATAGCTTGAAATTTTCACTTTCTGGGCATTTATTGGTAGAGTTCTAGAAGGATTCATTCTTTGGCTAATGATTAATATTTAACACAAAGTAACAGTTAATTTGATTTACAATTATTTGAATATTAATGTACCTTGGTTAATGAGCTGTTCTTGACTGAAGAAATTAGAAAACAAATAATAATTTACATCTTCAAAATAATATTCATTTCTCTTCTAGCTCTTCCACCAAAGCCACCTAAGCCAATGACTTCAGCCATTAAAAATGGAATGAAGGACAGTTCTGCTTCTCTTCAGGATGCAGAATGGTACTGGGGGGATATTTCAAGGTAACTAGAATGCTACTTATACTTGAATGCAGCTTTTTAGAAATTCACTTTTGAGAATCAGTAGTTAAAAGAAAAGTTTAATGTTCCACTAGTTATAATTTAAAGATTGCCATTTAAGAAATTGTGTGTGATAAAATATCAGTTTCTAAATGGTTTTATTCCCACAAAAAAGTGACAAAAAATCTTTAAATTATGGCTGTGATTATTTCTTTTAATATATTGAAGATAGATTTCTGTATAACTTAAACTTATACACTTAGGGATAGTTACATGTGTTTTAGGATAAAAATACTTAAATATACTTTATTTTCCTTACCTTTCTATTTCTAAGGCAGTTGTTCCACTCTCTTTGTATGTCTAAGAATCAGTTGGGGTGCGGCCCAGGAATCTGCATTTAACAACCTCCCCAGGTGATTTTGATGCACTCTTCATATACCTCATTTTGAGAAACATTATTCTAGAAGAGATTTGCTTTTTGGGTAAAATGGTTTTGGAAAATTTTGAACCTAGAGAAGGAAAACATATATATACATACATATATACATACATACATACACATATATATTTAAATTTGAATATTATATTTTCTTGTTTTAGAAAAGCCCTATTCATTTCTGTCACATCAGGTTCCAGGTTGATGCCATATTCCTCAACATCCTTGCCCTTTTTCTCTGGTCTGTTTCCTCCCGTTACCAAAATGTCACTCATTTTCTTTTTTTTTCTCCTTACCATTTTAACTATCTTTAGATGTACAGTTCAGTAGCATAAAGTATACTCACACTGTGGATCAACCATCACCACCATCCATCTCTGGAACTATTTCATCCTCACAAAGTGAAGCTCTGTACACATTGAACACTAACTCCCCTTTCCTCCTGTTCTCCCCATACTCTTGCTTCCACCATCCTACTTTCTGTTCCTATGAATTTGACTACCCTAGGTACCTTATATAAGTAAAATTATATGATATTTGTCCTTTTATGCTGGCTTATTTCACTTAGCTTAGTGTCTTCAAGTTTATCCATATTATAGTATGTGTCAGAATTTCCTTTTTAAGACTGAATACTAGTCTATTATATGTATATACCACATTATTTATTTATCTGCACATTTGGCTTTGATGAACATTTGGATTATTTCCAGCTTTTGGCTGATAATGTTTGGTGAATAAATGTTCAAGTCCCTGCTTTAAATTCTTTTGGGTGGAATTTCTGGGTCATATGGTAATTCTCTGTTTAATTTTTTGAAGAAGGCAATATATTCTATATTGATGAAAATTTATAGCATTGTACAATAAAAAGATCTCTTATATTTAAATGCCATTTAAATTTATATTTTAAGACCACGTGGTTCTATAATTCAGGGATTTTTTTATGCCCTGCCATTTCCTTTGAGTGTTCTAGTATTGTTCCGTAAAGTCCTAAACCAACTCTGCAGAAGGAATTTGTTATCAGTATAAATTCAAACTGTAGAGTATTATATTGAAAGGTGTGAACTTAGTGAGTTTTTCCCCCTCTGATCAGACACAGCTGCCACAGTTACTCAAATATAACCTTCTTTCTGAACAGCTGCTGGTTTTTCCTGAAACTCTACAAGTTCAGACCTGCCTAAGGAAGTCATAAGGGCGTAATGGAAACACTATCCCCTACAGACAGTTGAAATCTAGAAGAGTTCAAAAAGCAAATAGGCCTTCCTTAGATTGCATAATACCAAAAATCAAAACAGAAAGAACAATTCTAGGGGGATGAACTATGTGACCTCCGAAGACCCCATGATTCTATAACGTTAGATATATGTACTTCCCAACTAGCCTTAGTAATAATATGTGATGAGAACAACTGACACATTTTTCATTTTACCTATAATTTTGTTCTTCAGGGAGGAGGTAAATGACAAATTACGGGACATGCCAGATGGTACCTTCTTGGTCAGAGATGCCTCAACAAAAATGCAGGGAGATTACACTTTGACTTTACGGTGAGTATTTTTCAGCATTTTGGATGGTGTTCTACTAGCATTATTTATTTCTGGATATAAAAGATTTCTGTATTTTATTTAAATCTCTCTATACACATTTTTTTCCATATTTTTATTTAACTTAGGTACATAATTTTTAATTACTTGTCTAACCTCTTTCTATATATTAAGTATTTAAGAGTCATATAAAAATGAAAACACTTATTTTTTTATAGAAATAAAATGAAAAGGATGAAATCCCTAGATGTAAAGAAATAAGAACTGTACTGTTGACCTTATGAGTGAAGTAGAAGTCACTGGCATAGCCTAAGGTTATTAGTGACATGTTGGGAATCCATCCTTCTAATAACCCTATTATTTTCCTCTATGAAGATTTCAGAGAATAAAATTCGACAAAATTTAGGCTGATGAGGTTATGTAGAAGATAAAGCAATTCTCAGCCTGTATCATGCTGTCCATGTGGGCATATTAAAATCTGATAAGTGGTGGATGTATACTTCCTATATTTATGAAGACAGAACTTTTTTTTTTGGTATTGTTAATGTACAATTACTTGAACAGCATTATGGTTACTAAACTCCCCCTATTATCAAGTCTCCCCCATATACCTCATTACAGTCACTGTCCATCAGCATAGTAAGATGCTATAGAATCATTACTTGTCTTCTCTGTATATACTGCCTTTCCCGTGTCCCCCTCACTGCTACATTGTGTGCTAATCATAATGCCGAAGACGGGACATATTTTTAAAAGATTAGGAAAACTGCATTAGATATTTATGTATTTAATTTTAACAATAAAAATAGCCCAATTACAATAAAGTCTTGTGACTTTTTTTTAAAAGGACCATCTAAAGAAAAGACTAATCGTAACAGTAACAACAACTCCCTTGTACTAAGCATTTTACAAGCAATATTGTATTTATTTCTCATAACAACCTTAGGGGTAGGTATTATTAATATTTTCATTTTATAGATGAGACAACTGAAGCTTAACGTGGTTAAGAAACTGGCCTAAAGACACATAGCTAGTAAGTGACAAAGGACAGGTTCAAATCCAGATTTATCTAGTTCTTTGCTGCCTTTCCACCCTAGTATTTTTGGGAAAAATAATCCTATATCTTATGCCAGAAATTTGGAGTTAACTATTTTAATTTCTGGCAAAGGAGAAATTTATACCCTAGGACTTCAGTTTTGCTGAGAAATAATAAGTGTTCTACAATGATTCATTTAGAACAATTTTTTTCCTACTCTGGTCAGGCTTCTAGGGGGACTTCTAAACCAGTGGTCTCTTCTCTTTTCGTGCCTTACCTGCCCTCTTAGTAGCATTAGTCATAGACACTCCTTCCTAGAAGTAGTTTATTATTTTAGCTGTTGTGACATCACACTCTCCTGATTTTCTTCCTAACTCTAGGCCATTCCTTTGCTCAAAGCTACATGTAAAGTGTTTTAGGGTTCAGACCTGGGCCTCTTTCTCTTCTCTGTATTCATTCTTCCAAGGTGAGCTTGTCTTTTCTCATGGCTTTAATATATATAACTACATGCTGATGATTCGTAAACCTCATTTCCAGCTCTGAACTCCAGAACTCCATGTGTATATATCCAGTTGCCTACTTGACTTTGCCACTTAGATAACCAGGGGACATACTAGTTTTAACAATTTCAAAGCAGAGTTCTTAATTTCTAACCTAACTGCCCCTACTCAAACTATTTCTCTTCTAGTCTCTTCTTATTTAAGAAAAAAAAAAAACCTCACCATCTCTATAGTTATTCAAGCCACAAATATTTTTTGACTTTTCCCTCACCCTTGTGTCCAATCCATCATTAAACATCTCCTGCCAATTCTGCCTCCAAATGTATACTCATAATCTCTGCACACTTCTCTACAACCCAAATCGAAGCCACCGCCACCTTGCTTGATGTTTTGCAGTCACCTCCTAACAGGTTTCCCAGAACTGTACAACTTCTGATCTTCCTCACCACTGTTAACCATTTTCTGCACAGTAGCCAGAGTGATTATTTTAAGATATGAGTATACTTTGCTTAAAACTCTTTAAGAGTTTTCCTACTGCACTTAAGGTAAAATATTTGGATTTTATTCTGATTTACAAAACTCTGTTTGACCTGGTCTTGGTATATTTCTTACACGTCTTTTCATGCCACTCTCTCTTTATCCTCTACATTCAACCCCTCAGGTTGAGGGGCTATTCCTGCCCTAGGCATTTGCAATAGCTGTTCCTTTTTGTCATTCACATCTCTGCATAAATGCCACCTCTTCAAATCTTTCCTAACCATTCAGTCTGCAATAGCCATCCAAGGATATATATTGCTTCAATTTAATTCACCTTGTGGGCTGCTCACTGTTTATTTTCTTCTCTTTCACGTTGTCTATCTCACCCCATTAGAATTTAAATTCTCTGAGACTGGGGACTTTGTTTAATCGTTGCTATATCCCGAGAGGACTCTAATATAACACTTACCACACTGAATTAAGGATACATACCTTCTGTAGGCTCTTTTCCTCATCCCAAACATATAAAAATTATTGCTTTTAGCAAGTTGCAATTAGAAATCTGCCCATCATAAAATAGCACCTTAGTGTGAGATTTTCAGAAGGGGCCATAGAGCTTCCATGTAATCTTTCACTCATAAGATGCTAAGGTCTTCTTTTGGAAGCAGTCCGTTTTATTGCTGCACAGCTTTAAAGTTTAGAAGGTTATCTTTGTGCTAGGACCAGGAATATGGACATTAATAAGGCATGATTTTACCCTCAAAGAATTCATAATCCACATGTGTAATGATGGAGTAGGAGAGACACACACATATACTATACCTTAATGCAGTGTGGTAAGTGTTACATTAGGGTGCTCTCCATTCTCCCCATTTCTCAGCCCCTGGTAACCATTGTTCTACTTTCTGTTTTTGTGCATTTGGCTACTCTAGGTACCTTATATAAGTAGAGTTATGCAATATTTATCCTTTTGTTGTCTGTCTTATTTTATGTAGAACAATATCTCTAAGGTTCATCCACGCAGTAACATATGTCGAAATTTCTTCTTAAAGCTGAATAATATTTCATTTCACGTGTATACTACATTTTGTATATCCTTTGGTCACTGGAAATTGGCAAGAATGTTTCAAAATGTTCATGTATCTAGCACAAGCTCTGACACTGAGTAAGTATTCAGTAAATATTTTAATGAGAGAACGAATAAATGAGACAAAGACAAAGAGAAGGTTTCTCAGAGGAAATTGAGGTGGGCCTTGATAGATTATGCTAGGCAGAAAACTAATGTTCTTAAATCAATTTAGTAAATACTCATAGCTCAATAGTAGTTACTGTGCAGAGAATCAAACAATGAATTAAAATCTTTTTCTCAAGGAAGAAATAGTCTAATGAGGGCAATTAGAGGGAATAAGAAAACTGCTTTGAATTAAAATAATAGGAGAAGTTCAATGTTCTATAGTGGCTCAAAGGAGGGAAAGAGATAACCTTGTTGAAAGGATACAGAAAGCTGTGCTTCTTGGGAGAAATTGCATTTACAGTGTGTCTTGAAGAAGGGGATAGTCTGGATGTATAGAAAGTGGGAGGAGAGGTTGCAGGAATAGGTAATGATAGGAACAACGATATGGAGGTGAGAAACTGGAGTCTTGTTCTGTGAGATGCAGTCCTATCTAGCTAGAGGGTAATGTTTAAAAACAGGAAAAAATGGTAGTGGGTAGAAGGTTGGAAAATGTTGAAGAAGACCTTGACTTCTAAAATTCTACCCTCATGTTGAAGAATGCCTTGAATTCTAAAATTTGGAGTTTGTATTTAATATTGTAGGTAGGCAGGGGGGACCATTGCATTTTTTCAGCAGGGAAATTACATGATCAGACTATATTTGAATAGAAAGAATAAAAGAGGACAGTAGTAAAGAGTTAGAAGGTTACTATTAATTGAGAGATAATGATGATCCAGAATAGGATTTTTTCTTTGATCATTTAATATTTATTGAGTGTCCACAATGTTGTAGGTACTGTTTGAGGAAAAGTAAATGATGAACAAGCCAGACACAGTGTCTTATCTACAGTGTTTATATTTGGGGGGAAGGAGTGAGGAAGAGAGAGACAAAACAAACACATAAAAAAGAAATGATATAACTTCACAGAGTATGAAGTACTATATAGGGGATACATGGGGTTATATGATAGAGAATGTGAGGAAAGGGAGTTTAAGATAGTTTGGCAAAGGAGGGCCTCTTTGAGGACATGATCTCGGAAAACTGAAGAATTAGAAAGAACCAGCTAGAAAAGTGTTCCAGGGAGAGGGAACAAAAAAATGCAGGGATACCGATTTTGGAAAGATTTGGTTGATTTAAATTAATCCATAGAGTCAAACCTGTTTTTGACCTTTCACAAATCGCAATGCCTCTTGATCATGTGTAATAGCATGACATAAAGAGATATAGAGGCATATATTTCCCCCCCAGTAGGTCTGCATCCTGCTATAAGAAGAGTTAAGTGGAAATGGCACAGTATTTTGCTATGGGATAATGAATCAACCTGCTGTGGTTATAGATTATATCCTACTTGGAAAACATTGCTATTTTAAGCTTTGGTTATAAATTACCTTTTAAGGGACCATTGGATATGATTCAATAAACAAAAGTGGTTTAAACTATTCAAGCATCAGATTACACCCATCTAATATAAATGGCACTTCAAAAACAATACTTTGTGAAACAGTTGAATGACAGTTCAATCATTTACATATTTGATGGCCTAAATAAATAGTTGTTTCTAAGAATTATAAGCACATATAAAAGACAAAATAATGTAAGGTGCTAGATTAATTGCTTAGTTATAAATCATTGAAGGAGCTTAATTGTGTTTGTGCATTAACAATAAAACCTTGGCTGTGTTAGTGATTGTATGACATGCTTACCATCCCCCTTCATGTAGAGATGGCTTCTGCTTCCCTCCACAGACACACAACCACATATGTTTAGGCCCTAAAGAGATTGTCTCTGTGCTTCCTGAAAAAGTATTGATAGAATTTAAATTAGAAAAATTCATTCAGAAAATAAACAAAAGGTACACTTTACTTCTGTTTTATTTTCTTTGTGATGTTTTTTACTAAATTTGTTAATACTAAATAATATGTAGGTATGCTGACCTTTAGTAACCAAGATATTTTAAAAGAAATAGTTGTAAAAAATATGACATTATATATACTTTTACACACATAATTATATATGCCTTTTTACCAGTTCCAGTCTCAACATAGTAAAACTTGTTTATTATGTGAGACAGGCTTTCATATCTCCATATGAAAGTAATACTTTAATAGAGTTTTTGGGAAAAAAAATCTACAGTTGTTGTCTTGTTATTCACAGGAAGGGAGGCAATAATAAATTAATAAAAATCTATCATCGAGATGGTAAATATGGCTTTTCTGATCCTCTGACATTTAATTCTGTGGTGGAGCTCATTAATCACTATCATCATGAATCTCTTGCTCAGTACAATCCAAAACTTGATGTGAAGTTGATGTACCCAGTGTCCAGATACCAACAGGTATGATTACAGAAAATCTTGATAGCTATTCAGCAAGTCATTGTTTAGCAACATAATTTGATCCTAACTTACCAGGCTTATTAGCTAAGAAAAGAAAGAAATTTAGTCATTTAAAATTTCCTGCTTAAGATTTAAGGTAGTTTTGGAAGTTACTATGTGGTACTGTTCCATAAGAGCTTGTTATGTATTTATTAACTTTATATAAAAATACTTCTGTTTATGTTTCCTGTTTTACTTCATTTCTTAATTTTTGAAATCCAAACATTTTGATGTGATATCAAGGCTGATCTTAGAGTTAACCAAAGGATCTAGTGCTTTTACATGCTTGCTGTTAATATGGTTGCTTAAACTTACAGTAGAAATGCAATTTAAAAATAAGTAGATGTGGAAAAATTCATGTATCATTATTAACATTCTTTATTTCTTTTGTTTACCTGCATAGGATCAGTTGGTAAAAGAAGATAACATTGATGCAGTAGGTAAAAAACTGCAAGAGTACCACTCTCAGTATCAGGAAAAGAGTAAAGAGTATGACAGGCTATATGAAGAATATACCAGAACATCCCAGGTTAGTATATTTTCATTTTTTAGGCCAGTAAGTATGCATTGTTAGTTACATCAGATTTTCTATAATTCACCTGGCAGCCTAGCTGTCTTAATATCTTAAACTTAAACAGTCTTTTTGCAACTTTGATGATATAAATTCATCTTCCATTCATAAATCACTTTTTTTGTTGGTTAAGGGTATACCCTTTTGTATTTTCAATTAGTATTAGGATAAAGGTAGGCTGAAAGTGGCAAAAATAACTAACAAAGACTTCAGATAGAAATTTATTTTTCTTTCATGTATAGACAGTTGCAGGGGTGTTAGGGCAACTCCAGTCATTTAGGGCCTAAGGTTCTTCTGTCCTGATGCTTTACTACCTGTGGAAGATGGCTTACCCCAGTATCAGCCATCCCAGCCACAGTCTAGCAAATGGGAAGGAACAATAGGAAGGAGAAAGGAATGCTCCCGATTTTTAAGGCTACTTCCTAGAAGAAGCACACACTGCTTCCACGTTCATCCCACTGGCTAGGTACAGCTGCAGATCACAACTCCTGTAGGGGAGGCTGAGAAAGCTAGTCTATTTGGCCAGGTGTGCCCAACTAACATTTGAGAGTTTACTGAGAAAGAAGGAACTAATGGAAATTGTAGGACCACTAGTTGTCTCAGCCACACAGTTTTGAGATCATAAACCTTAAAAATCCGTATTTCTTTTATCACATTTACAGTATAGAGCAAAATTCTGAAGAATAACCTAGTTCTTTTCCTAGAATTATCCTTGATTCATTTTTAGTTACACTTGGATTGATTAATTTGCTCTGAGTTGTTACATACTATATAAAAGGTACTGGGAATTTTTATGAAGGTGCATTTCTTCAGGTAATTTATCTGTTAGAATATTTGGACCACTAGTAGCCTAAGAAAATACGTTGAACTGGGTTTCTCATGCATATTCTTTGAAACACAGGTAATAACTTTGAACATCAAATGATTTATATAAGAATTAGTCAGTGTTAATTAGTCCATGTTATAATAGCATTTGTCCATTCTACTAAATTCAAAGTAAATTCTCCCTGCAACAATAGCTTGCTTGAGTCTTTCTAGGAGGTAACAATAATGGATTTTTTCTAGTGTTTTTCTATTTCATAGATTTCTGCTCTTATCTTTATTACTTCGTATCTTCTGCTTTTTAAAATTTAATTTGCTCTTCTTTTTCTAGCTTCTTAAGGTGGAAATTTTGTTCATTGTTTTTTTTAAATTTCCTTATTTTCTAATATAAGCATTTGAGGCTATAAATTTCCCTCCAAGAACTGCTCTAGGTGTATCATACCAATTTTATTATACTGTTATTTTTCACTATTCAGTTTTAAATATTTTCTAATTTCCCTTGTGATTTTTTCTTTGGCCCATGTTCTTTAATTTCTAAATATTTGGGGTTTTTCTGGGTATTATTTATTTCTAATTTAATTTTGTTGTAGTCAGTGAACATATTTATTAAAGTTACAGTCTTTTGAAATTTATTGACTTAAAACCTACACATGCCTTATTTTGGTAAACTTACCAGTGCAATGACAACTACCATAGTTGTTTGTATAGTGATCTTGGAGTTGTTGGTATAGTGCTTTGTAAATTAGGTCAAGGTGATTCATAGTGTCATTCATATATTCTGTATCTTTACTTTTTTTTTTTTTGCTAGTTCTGTCAGTTACTGAGAGGGAGTCTTAAAGTCTCCAATTACAATTGTAACTTAGTCTGTTTCTCTCTTTAGTTCTGTTAGCTTTTGCTTTCTGTATATTAAAATTTTGTTAGTGTTGTTTGCATATTTATAGGAAGTTTAACCCTTTATCAGTATGGAATATTCCTCTTTATGTCTAGTAATCCTGGGTTTGAGGTCTGCTTTTTCTAATATATCTCTACTAGCTTTCATAATGCTTATTACTATTTGCATGATATATCTTTTCCTGTCCTTTGAATTTCAGTGGTAAAATATACAAAATAATTGTCATTTTAACTGTAGGTATATAATTCTGTTGCATTAAATATATTCACAGTTTTGTGTAACCACCACCATTTTCTTTACCTGTCTTTATATTCAAAGTGCATCTTTTATAGATAATATATAATCGGGTCTAGCTTTTAGAAATCCAATCTGACAATCTCTGCCTTTTAATTGAAGGGTGTAATCCATTTGTATTCTTGCAATTATTGCTGTGGTTGGGTTTGTTTACTTTTTTGCTCTTTGTTTTCTTTATGCTTCATCTGTTTTTTTTTTTGTTCCTCTACAAGGCTTTCACAGTCTTCATTTGGGTTAAACATTTTTTAGTGTTCTATTTTGGTTCTTCATCTGGCTTTTTAGCTATAGCTTTTTTTTCTTATTATTATTATCAAATATATATCACAGTGGTTCAATAGTCCCCCAACCTCTCCCCCTTAGTAACCACTAGTCACATCTCTGTCTGTAAGTCTAATGCTGTTTTGTTCCTTCTGTTTTCTTTGTTTTTATATTCCACAAATAAGTCAAATCATATGGTATTTATCTTTCTTCACCTGGCTTATTTCATTGAGCATAATACCCTCTAGATCCATCCATGTTGTTGCAAATGGCAGGATTTGTTTTCTTTTTATGGCTGAATAATATTCCATTGTGTATATGTACCACTTCTTCTTTATCCATTCATCTACTGATGGACACTTAGGTTGCTTTCATATCTTGGCTATTGCAAACAGTCTGGTGATAAACACGGGTGTGTATGTCTTTCTGAATCATGGATTTTATTTTCTTTGGGTAAATTCCTAGGAGTGGGATTACTGGGTGAAATGTTATTTCTATTTTTAGTGTTTTGAGGAAACTCCATACTGCTTTTCACAGTTGCACAAATTTTCAGTCCTACCAACAGTGTAGGAGGGTTTCTATTGTCTCTGCACCCTCGCCAGCATTTGTTGTTTCTTGTCTTTTGGATAGTAGTCATTCTAACTGGTGTGAGGTAATACCTCATTGTGGTTTTAGTTTGCATTTCCCTGATGATTAGTGATGTGTGGAGCATCTTTTCATGCCTGTTGGCTATCTGTATTTCTTCTTAAGTGAAGTGTCTGTTCAGGTCGTCTGCCCATTTTTTGATAAGGTTATTTGTTTTTTGGGTGTTGAGGCATATGAGTTCTTTATATATTTTGGATGTTAATCCCTTATTAGATGAGTCATTTAAGAATATATTCTCCTATACTGTAGGATAGCTATGGCTCTAAGGATTACAACATGTAGTCTTAATTAATCACTGTTACTTAAGTTCATAGTGTACCATGTATCATATAAATATAATAACCTTGTAACCATGTACTTTTACTTTCACCTCATATTGTTGTCATATGTTTTATATCTACATATATTAACCCCATAATTCAATGTTATAATATTTGCATTAAGCATTACATTATCTTTAAAATAATTTTAGAGAAGAAAAAGTCTTTTGTATTTACTCACAGGTTTATGGTTTCTGGTATTCTTTATTTTTTCCTATAAATCTGGGCTTTTCTCTGGTGTCATTTCACTTCAGCTTGAAGAACATCATAATACTTCTTGTAGGGCAGGGCATTTGGCAGCAAACACTCTCAGCTTTCATTTACCTGACGATATGATGTAGATAATTTACATTCATTTTTTTTCTTTCACATATACCTTTTTTGTGAAATTTTTTTTGCATTGTGGTAAAATATACAAAATAATTGTCATTTTAACTGTAAGTATATAATTCTGTTGCATTAAATATATTCACAGTTTTGTGTAACCACCACCATTTTCTTTACCCAAAATGATTTCATCATCCTCAATAAAAGCTCTATACCCATTAAACAATAACTCCCCAACCCCTGGTAATCTCTACTTTTTGATTTTATGAATTGCCTATTCTAGGTAACTTATATAAATGGAATCAAATAATATTTGTCCATGGCTTATTTTACTATTTATGATGTTTTCAAGACAAATTCATGTTGCAGCATATATCAAAATGTCATTCCTTTTTATGGCTGAATAATATTCTATTATATATATATATATACCTTATTTTGTTTTTCTTTTCATCTGTTGGTAGACATTTGGGTCATTTCTGGTTTTTCTATTGCAAATAATGCTGCTATGAACATTGGTGTACAGTGATCTCTTCAAGTCTGTTTTCATTTCTATTGGATCTATACCTAGGAGTGGAATTGCTGGGTGATAGTTATATGTTTAACCTTTTGAGAAACTGCTTAACTGTTTTCCACACTGGCCAAACTATTTTACATTCCCACCAGCAATGCATGAAGGTTCCAGTTTTTTTCACATCCTCTCTATGACTTGTTATTTTCTTTTTAACTATTTTAAATAGTCATCCTAGTAGTTGTGAAGTAATCTCTCATTGTTTTTGTTACTTTTGTGTTTTAGGAGTTTTTTTTAATACAGTCCTGGTAGTAATCCCTTATTAGGAATTACGATTTTCATATATCTTTTCCATTTTGTAGGTTTTCTTTTTGCTTCTTGACAGTATCCTTTGATGTACAAGCATTGGTAATTTTGATAAAGTCCAATTTGTTTATTTTTTCTTTTATTGCCTATGTTTTTGGTATCATATTCATGAAATTGATGCCAAATCCAATGTCTTAAGATTTTCTCCACTGTTCTCTTCTAAGAGTTTGTTGTTTTAACTCTTAAATTTAGGTCTTTTACATGTGAAAATCCATTTTCCTTCCACTGTGGTCCCAGTACCATTTCTTCATTCAGTGGTCTTGGGACACTTGCTAAAAATCAACTGACCATAAATGTGGGGGGTTATTTTTGGGCTCTCTATTGTATTCTTCCATTCATCTATATGTCTTTCCTCTGTCAGTACCATACTGTTTTGATTACTGTAGCTTTGCAATAAACTTTGAAGTATTAGTCTTCCAACCTGTTCAAGATTGTTTTGGGTATTCTGGGACCCTTTCAATTCCATATGAATTTGAGGATCTGTTTTCCATTTCTGTAAAAGTGCAGTTGGGATTTTTATGGA